CCCAAATAAACATTTAATTTCATAGTATAAACCTACTTAAAGGATACAAGTATTAAACTAGGCCTAGTTATCCCGTGATTCCCCCACAGAGGTTAGTTTGATAGCACTGACGTGATTGGCTGATTAGTGTTTACGGTAATCCATTCAGATTTCACCATGATCTCAAACAGTCAGCTGATTAGAAGAGGCTGGGAGAGTGAAAGAGAACTGAGGATGAATCAGACAGAGAGAAAGATTGAACTCGCTCTGAACTTCAGTTGTACTTTGTTTAGTCGTTCAAACATATATTCTTTTTAATATCATTTTGTCCTGCAGGCTCTGAGGCCAGTTCCTCCACCAAAAGTCTGATGTCTGACAGTGCCACCTTCAACCAGACCTGGGGAGACTCACCTTTGTCCACTGTCTCCACCAAGAGGCTCCAGGCAGTCCCGGGGAACAGAGACAGTTCATATTGACTGAGGGTGCTACGTGTTTGTACCAGTGATGTGCAGGACTGCAGGAGGGACAAACGGAACTCTACATTGTCACTTCCATGTACTGCCAGAGTATTACAGGGAATGCACCTTTTATTTTGACTGCACTTTTTTTATACTATAGTGTTGTGGGTTGGTGCAGCTAGAAACAGAAGCAGCTCTGGCCTTAATCTGAGCCACACCAATTTACACGTGTTCTTTTATTTTGCAACAGAAACTATACAGAATGTTGCACAAAACTGGATTTCAGTGTCAAAACCTTTCAACAGCAGCAGTACTTTTTAAATTTTATGTTGTTTGCATCAACTTTTGACGTGATGGTCTTAAGATTTATGGACAATTTTCATGCAATGTTATAGAAAACTAAGAAAAGAAAAATGTTAGAGTAGCATATTATAAAACTCAAAAGTTTTGTAATACACTATACATCTTCAGTTAGAGCTCAGGTACAGAAAAATACTGTAAAACCAGGACAACTGGATAAATGTTAATTAGTTCTCTGTAGTTTCTCTGTAAATGGTGTCCTCAGGTAATAATCAGGAGCTCCTATTAATGCATAATATAATTACTTAACACTTCAATTCCGTAAGTTTGACAGCTGACAGTCCAGATATACAGCGTGTCTTCTGCTGCAGGTTCATTTCTAAATGAAATGTCATCATGCCATCTATCTGTTGTTGTGTCTGCTTCACATAAACAAAAACCCTGTGACAGTGTTAGTTGCTCCTAATCAATATGCTTATTACTGATTTAGTTTGTGTAAATAGGATTTCGCTGTACACCTTTGTTACACTGAATTGGTTCACTGTGTGAACATGTACATAAAACAAACTGTATGCAGGTTATATTTAGTACTAAGTAAGAACAAGATGTGGTGTATTTTTCCTCTCTGTGCTTCAAGGCTAAAAACAGCAGCCTGAATGTTGTAGCATCACGAACTCGGGTCTTGTGAAAAGTGAGGGAACAACAAGCAGCAAGGTTTCATACGACTACGAATTACAATTACTAGCAATTAAACAAATCTCTGGAAAACTAACCCCCATGTTCTTGCCCTGCTGTGTTAAAGACCACTATAATCTGGGTGTTAAATATCACCCTTCCCTGCTTTAACATCCTGCTATTGAGCAAGGCATTAACCCCAGACTGCTCTAGAGGTGCTAACGTCACCTCCAAGCAAGTGTTTCTTGAGGTTGTCATAAATACAGGTTTGTAAATAATGAACAAGTGTGAATTCATATTGTGACACATGCATTGTTTGTGAATATGGACAAGATGTTAATTAAACACTTTTGTTTAAATGAAAAACTTCAGGTATTTTTCACGCTCTGATTATATTACTGGTACTTTGGGAATTGTTCCACTAGATCATCTGCACTGACAACTGCGCCTCATGCTCATGCATAGCTCCTCTGCTTGTTTCCTCTCTCTATCCTCATTTGCTCATCAATTAGTAGGAGCTCTTTGCCTGTGTACTCTGGCGCAAACAAGTAGGGGAGACCATCGAATTGTCCACATCAGAAAAAGATTCAGCCATAATAGTTTCTATCACTTCAATCCAAACTCCTCTCCAACTCGCTCTCTCACTCATGTGTCCACCTCCATCTACCTGCAACATCCCAAGTCTTGTGAGACTTGAGAGTAAGTCTCACTAAGTCTCAAGACACTTGGGTTGTTGTCTCATTCTAAGTCATGTGTGCTCTTCCCAGACTCAGAATAAAGATTTGAGCCTTTTCTTTGAACATTCCACGGACAGTCACAGTTGCCCCATATGAGCACATTGTAGCCATTGTCACTGTTGTGGCAGCACAGCAGAGACAATCCGCTGAACCAATTCCAAATGCTTTCCTTAGTCACCGTTCCGGGCCCAGGATAAACTGGCATTCACCTTTAAAGCCGGATTTGAAATAGAAGATGGCTGCTATGTGATTCAACAGTAGTGAAAGCTCTAGTATGTATTAGCACTTCTGTCATTACATTTGTTATACAGATAGTACTCTCCAGTTACTGCCAGCGGTCCTGTTATTACAGTTTAAGTATGTGAAATGCAATGTAATGCGTTATTATGAACTGGTTTTGCTAACAATGGCTAGCTGGGCTATGTTTATGTTTATGGCTACTTAAACATTGTTCCGTATGGTCACAACAAGCCATCCCACTTCTGACCAAATGTGCAAATGGAACACTACCAACTATTTTATTCGGGTGTGACGTCATTCCGAGGGCTGAGCTCAAGAGGTATAATGGAGCACAGCAAATATATTTTGGCCTCTTGAGGGCAGTAGAACAAGTTAAAAAAACAACATTAACATTGGATTGTCAACATATAAATGTTTGAAGCCATTCAAATTCGGAAATTCCTGATCCAGTTTCAAATGAAGTGAGTCAAATAAAACACTGTAGTTGATTTTTATTATTTTTCTTTCAAGTGATACATCTACGTAAAAGATTTCATGGCCTTGCATGACAAGTACAATACACTTTCTTTTCCACCCCCCCCTCCCCTTTTTTTTTTTTTTTTTACATTCTGCAAGATATGTATGGGACCTAACAGGAGGTCAGCAGTCTGCATAAAGCCTTACCTTTAAAACAAACGTAAACATCACAGTTAAGAATGTAAGCCGAAATATTCCGGTTTTAAGAAGCTTTCCCAGAAGTCTAGTGAACATAACAACAATATTTAGGGATTTAATTTTAAAGATTTCAAGATTAATATTTCTAAAACTTAACCTTCAATAATTTGTGATTGAAAGACTCCTGGATTCACCATCCACACACAAACACACACATATGGATCTTGACATGTGTGGCAAAAGGTGGCATGGCACATGAACGCCTCTTTAAAAAAAAATTATAATACAAATAAAAAAAATACACAAAAGGAGTGAAATTCCAAGAGAATATTAAATCTTGAAGCTTATTTCTCCTCTTGACGTTTTGCTGAAAGACGACAGAGATACAGTCAGGTGAGCTGAAGCACCAGTTGGTCTTGTGTCCAGGGAAAAGCAAGTCTTAAAGGGTTGGGAGTGGCTGGGTGGAGGGTGGGTTGTGCTCAGACCAGAAATGAGCTGAATACTTCAGAACAAGAAAAAAAAAAAAAACCTTTTACACACCAGCAACCTCGGTGAGTGTTAAAACTCACCAGATCTTGGTATGACCAGGAGTTGTGAAAATATACTGCATGTCGCAGACAGCCATGGATGAGATGATTACATTACAGGCTTCGATAGACTGCTTATCATGTGGTGGTGGGACCTTTTATAGTATCATCCCTGCTGAGAGGAATGACTCAGTCCATTGTGTCTGGGTGCAGCGTCATCAAACTGCCATCATCTCACTGTCAGACGTTCTCCCCTTGATACATGTGGTTTATTACAATTCAAATGAATCTGCATACTGTAGAACCAACACTAGATGGAGACCCTGATACAGCTGTTGAAACAAAGGAAAGTCATGCAAGCGCACCCCATTCTTTTTTAGTGTCTGACAAATAAATCAACAAAGCAAACTGCCATAATCCTGTTAGATACACTGATATTTCCTAAGCAATAATGAACATCAGTCTGTTCATTGAGGACAGTGTGTCCAGCAGTCCCAATGCTTTCCAAACAAATGAGTCATCCTCTGTCCACATCGACGACCAGAGAGACAACACGTCCTTTTATGTCCGTTTGCTGTGATATTCCTGCGCTGTGCTCAACCCCCAGAGAGGTCAGCTTAGCGTCAGTGCTTAAGAAGAAGAAGTGCTTCCAGCAACGTGGGAGTATCGACGGGTGTGGATGTGGTGACAGAATAAGACATGCCGTACTGTATATTCCTTTTTTGGTTTAGCAGAGCGAGACCATCTTAGCTGCCATCAAGTGAATACAAGTCATACCAGCGACAACCACTGTAATTGCACACAGAGAATTAATCCTTCACTTGAACCGTTTCATTCACAAATGGTAATACATGACAATATTGTTGTGACTCTAGAAGTGAAAATACTGAATCCATTCAGCTTCTTTGGGGATTCATCAAGTTTTGTGTAAAATGTATAAATATGACTATATGTCTTTAGTAAATGTCTGCAGTATAAAATATCAAATTGTAGTAATTGTTCTGACACAATTGACTTCCCTTACTCTTTTTTTGTTCACCTTTCAATACATATTAATATATAGCTGACACACAAATAAGCAAACACTGTACTGTATGTAGAACCTCAAGTGCCTGAAATGTCATGACAAGATTCCTGCCACGTCGAAATGAGGCTGCTGAGGCCACAGTATTTATACTTCAGATTTTTCCAACATATGGAAACCACAATTAAAAAAAGAAAAGAAAAAAAGACTAAAACTCCTGGATAAAAGGGATTCATCTCCTTAAATTAACTAATTTATAAAATGTACTTTTTTTTAAATACTTTTTGACATGTACAAGTTAGGACCTCAGAATACATTTGAAAAACTGAAAAGTCAATGATTGTTGCTATGACATAATATATCTAATACAATTTTAAGCTTTGATAAATAAGATTTCCCCAAATAACAAATCATATGTTTGTATTCTTTCAGGAGCTGTAAGTGTTTTCTCAGCCGCCTTTTGTGTTTCATCTAATGTGTCCGCCTCATTCCTGCAGGCGACTGCAGGCGAGCAGAGAGAGACAGAAAGACACTAATAGGAAGAGAGAGAGAAAGAGTGGTTGAGGGCTATGATTCAGGGGGTGTGGGTCGTGTAAAGATGGGAGGATGGCGTTTTCTATCCAGTGCCGTTCTTGTTGGGGCTGTTGGCGTTGATCGGGGTGCCGTCTGGCTGCTGGCTGTCTTTGCGAGGCGGCATCCTCTCGTTTATCCTGTCCAGGCCGCGTGCCTCCTCAAAGTTACGGATCTTCCTTGTAGGAGAGAAGCCTTGGATGGCTAAAGAGACAAAAAAAACACCAGTCATTTCCCTGCTCATGTCACTGAGCCTAACTGCTGCAATTTTCTTAAAAAAAACAACTCACA